GCCTTTGACTGTGTGGATCACAACAAACTGTGGAAAATGCTTAAAGAGATGGAAATAGCAGAACACTTTACTTGCCTCCTGAGAAATCTGTACGCAGGTCAAGAAGTAACAATTAGAACTGGACATGGAACACCAGACTGGTTCAAAATTGGGAAAGGAGTATGTCAAGGCTGTATGTCACCCTGCTTATTTAACTTATATGCAGAGCACATCATGCAAAATGCTGGGCTGGATGAAGCACAAGCTGGAATCAAGACTCCCGGGAGAAATATCAATAACCTCAGATAGGCAGATGACAGCACCCTTATGGTAGAAAGTGAAGAGGAACTAAAGAGCCTCTTGATGAAAGTGAAAGAAGAGAGTGAAAAACCTGGCTTAAAACTCAACATTCAAAAAACAGATCATGGCATCTGGTCCCGTCACTTCATGGCAAATAGATGGGGAAACAATGGAAACAGTGAGAGACTTTATTTTCTTGGGCTCAAAATCACTGCAGATGGTGACTGCAGCCATGAAATTAAAAGACGCTCCTTGGAAGGAAAAAGTTATGACCAACCTAGACAGCATATTAAAAAGCAGAGATATTACTTTGAATTGATGCTTTTGAACTGTGGTGTTGGAGAAGACTTTTGAGAGTCCCTTGGACTGCAAGGAGATCAATCCTGAATATTTTTTGGAAGGAGCTGGGCTGAAGCTGAAGCTCCAATACTTTGGCCATGTGATGTGAAGAACTGACTCGTTGGAAAAAGACCCTGATTCTGAGAAAGATTGAAGGCAGGAGGAGAAGGGGATGACAGAGGATGAGATGGATGGTATCACCGACTCAATGGACATGAATTTGAGCAAGTCCTGGGAGTTGGTGATGGACAGGGAAGCCTGGCGTGCTGCAGTCCACAGGGCTGCAAAGAGTAGGACACGACTGAGCAACTGGACTGAAACTCCCTGTTTTACGTTGAAACTGAATCAAAAGATGAAATGCATACATTAAAAAGATAAAGTAAGTCTTAATTTTGTACCCTTCTTCACAAAGTTTAATCTGGCTTTTCTTTTTGAATGGATTATTCAAATAATTAGTGTTAAATTCCTGAACAAACAATGACTAAAGCTACTGTTATGGAATTTTTGAATGCTAATAGAATTCGTGAGGTTCATACAAATTTTATGTTTACATAGTTTCAAAAGGCAGATAATACTGTAGTGAAAATTATAGTCTGCTCAGGTTATTTATGAGATAACAAATATTTTTTTAAAAAGCAGAAAATATAGCCTAAACTAACTGAACTTTTCCCATATTATATATATAATTCTTCCAAATCTCATCGTATTTCAAATTCTTCATGCTAACTCACTTTTGGAAAAATTGAAGGTTCAGCTGGGTCTTAGTCCAACTAACATTGTTACAGTGGTTCCTTTTACCTCTGAGGATAACCTGTAGAGGTGGGAAAGATTTTCACTGAAGTCCCCAAAGCCGGGAGGAGTGTTAGAAGCTATCTTATTCAACTCAAGCCGCCTATACCTTTGCAGTAGATGGGCTATTTTATTAGCTGGCAGTGCTAATTAAACATGCTATGAGTTAAAAATTTGATTTTTGGACTTTCCTGGTGGTACAGTGGATAAGGATTCACCTGCCAACGCAGGGGACAAGGGTTCAATCCCTGGTCTGGGAAGATTCCACACGCCTCAGAGTAACTAAGCTCATAACTACTGAGCCTGCTTGCTGCAACTACTGAAACCTGTGCACCGAGAGCCTGTGCTCTGCAACAAAAGCCACCATAATGAGAAGCCCACGCAGCACAATGAAGAGTAGCCCCTGAATGCCAGCGCAACCAAAAGAAATTAAAAAAATTTTTTTCTTAACTCCCCTCCTCTTCTTGGTTCTATCTTAAAATAACATAGAACAAGTTACTCCTTTCCAAAACAACCTTCAAGTATTTAATAATAGTTGTTACATCTTTAGCCTTTTCTTCCTACACTTGATCTTAGCCAAAAGGCTGAGAAACGATAGCCTTCTCTTCCTAAGTCTAAACATTAAATTGCTTATGTTACATGAATCCTAAGTGAATTTCTGTAAGTCCCTTGTGCAGGGGGCCATGCCTTGTGTGTTGTATATTGCTTAGGCAGAAAAACAGTAAATCTAGCTTTTTCTTCTAACTGATACCAAGTAATCAATAATTTTGGTATCTTTTATGTTTGTCTATTTTGTCTTTTGTATTTGGAGATGCCAATGGAAGTCTAAGAATATTTGAATGTTTAAATATTGATCATTGATTAACAATATTGGGTTTCCGAGAACTAAACATTTCTTTCTTAAATGATTACAAAGGACAATTTAAAAAATGACAAAAAGCTTTGAAGAGATTGAGAAAAAGGCTAGAGGTGTCCTGTATTGATCTGAAGGATGAAGGTACAGTATTGACCTTGAAGGCTGTTTGAGATCTATCATAGATTTGAGAGCACTGTCTTAATTATGGTTCATATTAAGAATATGGATTCCTGGGGACTTCCCTGGTGGTCCAGGGGTTAAGACTCTGCATTTCCATTACAGGGGTTGTGGGTTCCATCCATGGTCAGGGAAGTAAGATCCCACATGCTGCATGGCATGACCAAAATAAGTAAATAATAAAGTTTAAAAAGTAAAAAGTTGATATGGATAATAATTTAAAAAAAAAGATTATGGAGTTCTGTGATACTGCTCACAAAATCCTGAAAGTGTAGTTAAGCCCACATAGCTAATTTTAGGTGTGGATTGTGCTATATACTTATTTCAATTTTTAAATATTTATCAGTATTTTAGGTGGATTTACATACAATAAAATTTTATTACGTACAATAATATGTTTTCAGGGTACAAGTTTTCATAAATGTATACACCTATGCTATACATCTTTAGAGGTCTCCAGGTAGTGAGTATATTGAAAATGATGGACTTAAGTAAGTCAAGTGACACATTTAAGAGTCAAGCCAGGTATTCATACACCTACACAAAAGTAACTGAATAATTTTTAAAAATTGTAAGAAGAGAGGATGTAAATGCTCTTGTATGTCATATTTCTTCAGACAACAGGAAAAATGAATGATGCATATGAATTTGCAGTTTTGTATTGGCTTAAACTACCAACTATTACCCAATAAAACATTTCTTTCTATAGAACAAATTTACTGTATTTATGTTTTTAATATTTAAAGACATCTAAGTCCACCACAGTTTCATTTTAGATAAGTCGTTGCTCATTGGGCTTATTGTTTACTTTTCTAATTAAAAATTTTAAAATATTTAACCTGTTGGCAATTGAAATACCAAGCTCTATTTTGCTAATTACAGCCAGTTTGTCCTAAGAACAATTAATTGTTCTTTAAGTCTGACTAGATGTACTCAGATTTTATGTGCATTTTGTTTGTGTATACTCCCACATGTATGCATGTCCAGGGCAAGGGTTGAAATGTTTTAGACTTCTTTAACAACCTACTACTGACATTTGAACCTGAAGTTATTTCCTTCAGGTTTTGCTGAATAGACTCTCTCGGGTAAACTAATTTAATGCTGTCTCACGTGTACAGGAAACTAACAGATCTGCTGTTCCTTTAAAGTTACCAGAGCTCATTCCCTCTGCCCTGGCTAGGTGGACAACTGTTCAATATTGGTGACTAAGGCTATGATAACCAGTAAAATTATCATGCCCAAATTATCATGACCAATAGCCAGTAGTTGCAAAGACATCCACTGCCGTGGACTAGTGCAGGGGGTCCCCAACCTCTGGGATCTAATGCCTGATGATCTGAGGTGGAACTGATGTAATAATAGTAGAAATAAAGTGCATAATAAACACAGTGTGCTTGAATCATCCTAAAACCATTCCCCCCCAACCCAGGTTGGTAGAAAAATTGTCTTTCATGAAATGGGTCCCCGGCGCCAAAAAGGCTGCGGACTGTTGGACTAGAGAACAAATTGAGAAACTACTATTAAGCTTTATTGCTTTTAAGCAGATCTGTTCAAGACATGAAAGTTAAGCCAAAATTTTCACTCATTTTTCTCTAAATGCCCTATTATACTTCTCTGAATATTTAACTATTTAATGACATATAGGGCATTTATCTAAAAAGAGGATTAATTATGTAGATGGCTTTTGCTCCAAGAAGTGGTTTTCCCAATATATTTCAAACTCAGATCACTCAACACAAGACTATATGAGGTCTCTTATTAACTTTTCTTGTCCACAGTACAAGAATGAAAGTTTACTCTGAGTAGATTAAATGTCTTCCTCCTTCCCAAGTTTGATTAACGGCTTCCTTTGGCCTCTTCTCATTGTTTCTTTTAAGAATTAATTCTTTACAGATCATACACAAGCAAGTGCAATCCTTAACAAAAGAGAAGATGGATGAAACTTTCACCATTGGGCTTCAGGGGCTTGTCACATGAAAACGAAGTGCATGAAAAAGATTTTATAACGGAAGAGATTTAAAAGCCCAGTTGAAACATAACTGAAAATCCACAAGAGGGAGATGCTTGCTAAACCGCCAGAAAGAAACTCCCTGGAGAATTACAGTAACCTGAGAGAGCTTTAGGAGGAGTTAATAGGTCCGCCCGGGATTCAGGGAGGGAGGAACAGGAGTAAACAGTGGCTGGAGGCTCGTAGGGGGAGCACAAGCGAAGGGAAAAGCAGAATTGGCTTCGTGACTTTGGCAGCGAAGCCGGTGCTCAGCCCAAGACCAGGAGCGAAGGTAAGAGTGTGTTAACCCAATAGGTGCACACGTTCCCAGTTACCTCCTGATCGTCCCAGAAGTAATGGGGGCGGTTGTCTTTGAAGGCGCTTCCGCTTAGCAACCCCACGCGGTTGCTAAGGAGGGGCGATGGCGGTGATGACCCGGAAGTGGTGTTGTCCATTTCTCACTGCCGGCTTTAAGTCTATCCTATTGGGAGGGCCAGGGTGCTCTGCGCCCGGCCGAGGGTGGGGCCAGCGCTAGAGGTTCCGGATCGGCTTCAGCCGCCCCTCGGCTCCTCGCCTTCCCTCCTCCCCTCCCGCACCTCTCCTCCCTCCCTTTCCTGGGAAAGAGAGAAGGCAACGCTGCGGGTGGGTAGAGAAGCAGTCGGCGCCTCCGGGAGGGGACTGCGCCCGCCCCATCTGAGTCCCGGAGCACGGCCAGACCAGGTACTCGCTCCGTCTTCGACGGGGTCCAGGAGGCTGGAGCCTGAGGGTGTGTGTGTATCTGGGGGCTTGTGGGGGGGCCCCCTTCTCCAAATCGCGGAGGGGAGCGCGGAGATACTGGGTGGGGCGGAGGCCGGCGTGTGTGACTGTAGAGGGTTGCGGAGGTGGAATGGAAGGGTTGGGGGGTCACGGTTGACGGAGAGTTTCGGGCGGTCCGGTCGAGGTTGCGGAGGAGGCGCTCCCTCGGATACTGAAGACTTCGGCCGATGTGGACGGGGAGTTTGCCACCTGGAGGGTTATCTCTGAAAGAGGGGGGCATCCTCTGGGTCCAAAAGGAGAGCCTGGACCCTGGCGGGGTAGGTGGGGCAATCTCACACTTCCATTGCCCGACTCTTCTGCCCACCTCGCTGGGACAGAGCCCGGCTTCGAGGGTTGTGGGGGTTGTGAGTCGGCTGGGCACAGCGGGGAGCCGCCCTTGGCAGAGCTAGGGCAGTGGGGTGGGTAAGGAGACCTCCCTCCTCTCAACTTCCGTGCGCTTCCCCCGCTTCTTCCTTCACTGCTCTCGAGCCCCGGTGTCTCAACAGGAGCGGTCCTTCACTCCCCAAGTGGTGCAGGCATCACAGAGTAAAAGAAAGAGGGTGGAACTGGGTTTGTTGCCCATAAATGATGTTTCGAATGTTTGGGAAGTGCCAGATTGACATAGTCGACCAAGTCTCCCAGATCAGTATTAAGTCTGGTCTGAATTTTTGAAAAGTGCAATCCTGAAAAGCACCAACCTATAGTCTAGTCTGGCATATCCTTGTTTGGTAGGTATGCGTGTTCATAACAAATAGACTTGGGGGACCTTCAAAACATAGAGGTCTAAGGCGAGACATGTTGAGGCAAGCCTTTGCCAACATCTTTCTTACCTGCCAGCGAGCTTGCCCTAGTTTAAATGAAGCAGAAAGATCCTCTTCATTTATATTTCAATCAGAGACTGAATTGTAGGTTCTGCGTGGTTATAGATGTCTCGGAATAGATAAGTGAACGTTCAAAAAGAGAGAGACAAGTTTCCCTGCTTTTGCGCCTATCTCTTAATCTTTTAAGGAGATAATTGTGGCCAAGTGGAAGTATTGGCTTTGAGGTTAGGCAAATCTGGGATTGAACCAGGACTGCCTCTGGGTAGTTGTTGACCTTGGGTTAAGTCATGGAACCTACCAGAGATTCAGTTTCTTCATAAGTAACATGTTAGAATTCTAATCAGTTTTATAAAAGGGGGGGTTAGTGTATTTAAATAACAGCTTTAAATGGAAGCACCTTCCAGTTGAAAGATGAATTATGATTAATCTTACACAGTCAGGGCAGCCCAGTTTTGTGGAATGAGGTTTGAGATAGGAGCAGAACTGGATAATATTCCAAATCATGTATACACAGCAGGACTTTCAGTAGCTTCTAGATATTGATCATAAGTAGCGTGAAACTCAGTTGTTAGTAGTTTCTTAAAACTCTGAAAAATAAAGCAGAATGTGTGCATTAACTGAAATGACCAAGAATGTTTCAGAGGTTTTTTTTTTCAGATTTGTGATGTGTATAGTATGGATTGATAAGAAAAACATTGTAAAAGTAATGTATATAAATCTTAATTAACATCACATATCTTTGGAGAGAATTAAAATTGGGGCATAAAATAGAAGGTAGTTGTAATTTTAAGAATAAAATCAACACAAGTAGCATGACTCATCTTGGAGTTAAACTGTTAGCAAAACTTAGATTTTTTTAATATGTGTAATATATGTAAAATAAATGAAATGGAGTGAATTTCTGCCCTTAAGTCTTTGTGATGATGATGTAGAAATATATTTCAGAAACTTGAAATCTTTATGTTAATTTGTTTTGTAGACTTTAAAAGGATACAGTTAATTTGTAACCTGTTGTATGTCAGATTTTCAGCTCATGTAGTTTGCTTTTTGATGTAACAAAGTTAGTAATCTTGGGGGGTTGGGGAGGTTATGCAGAGTGGCCTGCAGGATCTTAGTTCCCTGTGCCTGCATGTTCAGTGGTGTCCGACTCTTTGCGACCTCATGGACAGTGGCTCTCCAGACTCTGTCCATGGGATTCTCCAGGCAAGAATACTGGAATTGTTTGCCATTGCCTCCTCCAGAGGTCTTCCCGACCCAGGGATTGAACTCCATGTCTCCTGCGTTAGCAGGCAGCTTCTTAATGACTGAGCCACCTGGAAAGCCCTTAGTTTCCTGACCAGGAGTCAAACTTCGATCCCTGCAGTAAAGCACAAAGGCCTAACTATGGGATCACCAGGGAATTACTGGTAATTTTTAAATGTACTTTATACTCAAAAGATAAATAACTTGCTTTAATAATAGTTTTTTTGTGTGTGTGAAAAGTGGTTATAAAATGTGTAATTCAGTATTACTTTTTAGAGAAGTTTATAGGTTTTCCATAATTTTGAGAGAATTTTCAAATGTATTTCTTCTTTGTGTTTTTCTTTTCTTTTTTTTGGTTTTCACGCATTTATTGGGGCCATCGTGGCGGAGGCCGCTCCCTGTCAACCAAGGTGCTCACAGTCTCTTCAGGCTCCGTCCCTGGGGGTCCTGGGGGTGGCTGGGCACGTCGGGCATGTTCCCGTCATCTCAGAGGGGCACTGGGTAGTTGCAGGATGTGGCCCAGTTGATCATGAGCGGCTACTTGGTGTAGGGGCTGAGTGTGTGCAGGATTACAGTGAGGCCGTCGATGGCGAAGGATGCCACTAGCACCAGTTCCTTGGCCCAGACATTCTTGAGGAAGGCTGCGACTCTCTCAGCCATCTTGGTCGCAGCGGTGGCAGCCTTTGTGTTTTTCTTAAACAAAGTTGAACTTTTTTTTTTTTAAATAAAACTGTCCAGCTATGTTGCATACTCATTGAGGTAGAAATACTATATTAAATTTTATCCATCACTGCAGCTACATAATAGGCACCTAATAGATACTGGTCAAATTGATAACTGGATGGATATATTTTAAATTATTGATGACATACTTATACTATTTTTTAAAGAATTGAAATTATGTTTTTACTATAGTTAGACTTTTTATATGGTTATTCAACTTTCTCAATGGCTTTTCTGAGATTGTAAAGTCTTTATATGTAAGCATTTAATGGTTTTCATGGATCATTATTTTTCAACATCTTTTGAATCTTAAAGTTGAGACCATATTATCTTGCTTTGGTAAAGCCATGAGAAGCCCTCATTTTTTCCTCTATGTTCTCATAAAACTTAAGTAACTTATTTTGGTATAAGACATAGGATACTAGCTGTTAAAAGATATATCAGAAATGTGGGCAGTAATAGAGACTGTTACATATGATACTTTTCTCAGTGACCTTTTCCACTTAAACAACGTATGTGGCCATTCCACGAATCTTTGCAGTTGTCAGTTATGGAATTTGCTTGTCAGGAAATCTAAAAATGACTAAACCTTCCTTTAACGTCTGTCTCTTGGATGATCTCAGAAAGCCTTAGGAAAGATTGGGAAGGTTTATATAGCATACTAGAATATATAATGAACAAAGTACAGTTAACTTTATTGGTATTGCCAAACCAGAAGTGAATTACTGTGGAAATGTTTCAGAAATGCCAGGCAATGCTTTACTCAAACCAAATGAGTATTCTTCCAGAGCTTGTTTCTATTTTAGAGCTTATTTCTTTTTGGAGCTATGATTTGGCCTCTAGTAAAGATAAATAATCATCGTATCCAGAAAAAAAAGGCTGATATCATAGACAGACTTTATTCTCACCAGTCTTAATAGAAACTGCTTCAATGGCTTTAGAAAAATGAAAGTAGGTTTTCATGAAAGAACTTTAGAATTTGTGGAATGATAGTTTTTCTCTATTTAACATCTAACTTGTCTCTACTCATTTCTGCCCAATATAGAAGCTGGGAAGCAGAAAAAAAAGAATGAATTTACTTCAGAATTACCATTTTATGTTTTGTAGGTTAATTATTTGGAGAGCTAAATTGGATTTTGACATTATTGAGATTGTGTTCAAGATGGACTCTGGGAAAAAAAATTAAAAGAGATGCCATCTGTTTCAGATTCCTATTCCCTCACCCCTTCATGTTTTGTGGCTTTGAATTCATCATATTTTTTTTCAAAAATCAAAACCCTCAGTAGATTTAAGTTATATAATTTCAGTTGTGTCAGTGAACATGTAGCTAAAAGAACTTGCATTTTATATTGAGTTACACAGAAAGATCTCAGATGTTGGTTAAAAGTAATTGTTATTTCACACTATCTGAACATTATGTACCTTCATGCATCTTTGTTATCATTTGCTTAATAAACCATTCTTGTCATTACTGCTTGCCACTTATGGGAAGCTGCTAAAAAAATAGATTATGGAAATGTAGAATAAATTGTTTTTTCCCTATATTACAACTGGAAGAGAAGCTTCTTCTGGAAGAAGATTTTTTAATTTACTGATGAATCCCCTTATTATTTATTTATTTTCCATCTTTTGGCCTCACCTCCTGACATGTGGGATCTTTTTTTTTCCTGACCAGGGATCAAACCCAAGCCCCCTGCATTGGAAGCACGGAGTCTTAGCCACTGGGTTACCAGGGACATCCCTAAATTTATTCTTTTAGTAATGAGTTTTGCCTTGTTGTTTAGTTGCTGAGTTGACCAACTCTGCAACCCCATGGATTGTAGCCTGCCAGGCTCCTCTGTCTGTAGGATTTCCCAGGCAAGAATATTGGAGTGGGTTGCCATTTCCTGCTCCAAGGGATCTTCCTGACCCAGGGATTAATCCCATGCCTCCTGTATCTTCTGCATTGGCAGGTGAATTCTATACCACTGGGCCACCTGGGATGCCTAGAGGGATGTTCAATTGTTTTATTAAAATATTTTCTATCCTAAAATGTTAATATGGTAGTTTTTTTTAAAAGACTTTAATCACTTATTTTTGGCCACATGGCATGGGAGATCTTAGTTCCTCTACCAGGGATTGAACCCACACCCCCTGCAGTAGAAGGTTGGAATCATAACTGCTGGACCACTGGGGAAGTCCCAAGACTTTATTTTTTAGAGCAATTTTAGGTTCACAGCAAAGTTGAGAGGAAGGTACAGAGATTTCCTATCCACTGTCTGTTCCCACACATGCATAGCCTCCCCCATTATCAATATTCTCTACCCAAGTGGTACATTTGTTATAACTATGAACTTACATTGACACACAATCTCCCAAAGTCCATAGTTTAATTTAGGGTTGATTCTTTGTACTGTACATACTATGGGTTTGGAAACGTGTAGTAACATTTATTCATTGTAGAAATATACAGAGTATTTTCAATGCCTAAAAAGCCTCTGTACTCTGCCAATTTATCCCTCCCACCACCCTAATTCTTGGGTAGTTTTTTCTTTTTTAGAAATAAAATGAATAAAATATAATTCCTGGGGGTGGTTTTGAAATGAGATTTTTCTAACATTTTGAGATTTAATTGTTCAGTCTTGAGTTTCCATTTCAAAGATTGATGCTGGGTCATTAGGTGTTAATTGACAGGTGCTGTAATTCTTTGAGATATGTAATGGGGCATTAGGAAATGTGAACTAAATGTGGTGCTTTCCACATAGCAATTGCAGGTGGTAAGGAGGCTTGATAGGAGATCTGAATTCAGGAGTTTTGAACTATCACTAAAGGTAAGGTCTTTTGCCACTTGCGTTGTATTGTCCTGCAGGTCTCGGCTCTGCAGATTTCTTTTTGGCTGTCCTCTCCTGTGTCATCTTCTTCTTACAGTTGTTGAAGGCCATCCAGAAACTTGAGCTGGCAAAGTCTGAGTAGGAAGAGACGTCATAGGTACTGCTATAATTGCCTGATACTTCAAATTCGGATTCAGAGTGGAAATAACTATTTTGAAAGTAATGCTGTCCTGATAGTTGCCTGATACTTCAAATTCGGATTCAGAGTGGAAATAACTATTTTGAAAGTAATGCTGTCCTGACACACTATTTCTCACATAGCCCAAGTAGTAATTGTTAGAATCCTCTTTCAGTTGGCTTTTTAACTGTTCTGTCCTGGTTTTCTGGGACACCTATTTTCCAAAATGCTTTAACCTTAAATTGGTATTGTGACATCCAAATATTCCAGTCATCTAGAGTATGATGCAGAAAATGTTTAAAAACTCCATGCTTGATGGATTTTGTTTTCTTTTTCACCTAGTTCAATAAAAACAGACATGAGGAACGATCTGTTTGTGTGATAGCAGTTAGGTTTTCCAAAGATAGATGCTCTCCCAATCAATCAATACACAAGCTCGTTTTGCTTTTAATGGGATCCATCTGGTTAATGCGTATGTTTCTTGAGTCTCATAGATTATGGAATCATAAAGTAAAAGAAAACTTGGAGATGGTCAAGTTAGACTTTCTCATTTTACAGCTGAGATTACTTAAGTATAGAGAGACTGAGACTTGATCTAGATTGTATAGCTGATGAATCACATTGGAACCCAAGT